CCTTTCCCAACAAATGATGTTTCTGGCAGCTTATCATTTGTTGTTTTAATTGTACTAGATCAGTTGTGCTACTGACTGTGTAAAAGCTCCAGAGAAAGAACCTTCCTAAGTATAGATTTGTTTTTAAAGAATCAAGGCTCACCCCCTCTTGTGCTTACATCACATCTCAAAGACTGATGGGAAGACTGGGCATAGGTAATGATCCTGTATGAACAAGGAGGCTCTTGCAGAAGCAGTCAGTGCAACGTTTCAGAGGAATAGCATGAAGGCTTGATTAGGGGTGGAGGTGTGGGAAGCAGTGTGGATAGAAGCAGAAGCTTCATTAGGAGAAAGATGTGTTAAAAACAAGTATATTTTTGGAAAATGAAGTGTTCCCTTTTCTCCCCAAGAAGAGGGCTGCAACTCTGCCAAATGTTAAGTGCTCTGTTTGACCATGTGATACCCACAATCTCGGACTGTACAATGGTACAGGTTCTAATAGAGCTGTATGAACACACACCAGGACACACAATTACAGTAGTTAAAGGGACCTGTCAATGTGTCCACTTATCTAAGCAAAGACTCAAAAACCTGAAAATCATACAGCATTTCTTTTCCTGGCTGTGGTACACAGACACTGTAGGTGTTTATCATAGCCACAGCTGGTGTACTAGTGGCCTAATAGTTAAGCACTGTCTTCTGGAGGGAAAAGGCTTCTAAAATATCAGATTCAGATATTAATCTACCTTTCTCCCTTACCAAAATCATCAATTTATACATTATAAATGGGTTTTGTTTTGTTTTGTTTCTTTTGCTTTAGATAATGCAAAAAACCCCCGAATATATAAGAGAACTGAGAAAGCCTGCTGCTCATTAAAAACTCAGCAAGATATTTTAGAGAGCTCCTTGTGTTACTTGAAACAGCTATACGATCACCATCATTCAGGAGATGCCTGCATTTCCAAGACTCTCTGCTTTTTATCTATAACATACATAACATCTATAAATATCATTTACCCAAATACTTGAATGAGATATTTGAGACTTCTGTCTCCAAAAACTTAAAAAATCAAACCCCCCAAAATACCTTATCAGGATAGTTCAGTCTTGCAAAAAGAAAAGGAAAAGGAAAACACCTTTTTTGTTCTTTTTTTTTTTTTTTTTGGTGGCATAAAGGCAACTTATGAATTGTCATGTTTGTTTAGGGTGTAGAGATATTAAAAACTCCTCAGACAACACACTTCTGAAATCAGACAAAATTGAATTGCAATACAGATCAATCAGTTAATGGTAATCACAAAGCACAAGAGCTCTAAGGCTGCTTAACATTATGCTCTGTGCAGTATCCTTATCACTGTAGCTCGCCACTACCAACTGTTCAGTGATGGAAGCCGGAATTTCTAGCAGAAACAACACCACCACCACCGCTAATGCAAACTCAGAATCTGAAAAATACTACGGAAAGGTCTGTATTCAGACAGTCATTCTTCGCTATTTTGGACATAAAACGATAAGACTTATGAACAATCAAGAGAACGAAAATTTCTGCCGCCATTAGGTGAAAATGAACATTATTTAAAAAAAAAAAAGCAAAACAACAAAACCAAAGCAACAACCAAACAACACCCTCCACTCCACCTCCCCAAAAACCCAACCCAACAAACACATCTGGTATCACAACAGACCTCAATGTTTCAAGCTATGGGTCCTGTCAAAGTAGCCCCTTGTAGCTGCTTGCTTGGAAAAGGAATGTGTTCAAAACAGTCACAGTGACACAGTGTAGTGTTTATTCTCCAAACAGCTAAAAGATGACAAAGACAAACATGGGCATTCTACCTAAAAAGTCGGAGTGTATGCATGGAAGCAAAAGCTACAAACACCCAACTCACACATCACCTGTATTAGCTGTCCCACTCTGCCCTGTTCAACGGTTAGTGGGCTCACAGTGCTTGCCCTGCCTGGCACCACTGGGAAGGATCCCAAGGACAGCTATGGCAGCATAGTGTTCTGATGTTTTAAGTAAGTTTTGGTCAGGTTTTAAGACAAAAAGCAGAAAGCAAGCAAGCAATAATAAGACATTCACAAAGGATGTTCTCTGTACCATTGTATCTTCTACTATAATTAATCTTACTTTTCCCCGAAACAGAGAGCACTATTCAGTACTACATACTATTCATTTGAATCTTTTTCTGGGCTTGAAAATTGTTCCCTCTTCTCCCCACTCATTAAACCTTAGTTACCTGTATTGCTATTGCTACTTGTTGAGTACAGTTGTATTGCCTCAGAGTCCATGATGATAGTTCCTTCAATATTTGGTTGATATGAGGGTCAATATTAAAGGTACACCCTGAGTAAACCAAAAAGCATGCAAAGCCAAACTGGAGAAAAAGCTGTGGTCACTCCCTTCCACTTCGGTCTCGTCGTGTAAGAACACTTTGTTTAAATCTTTATTGCATCTAGGCTATCTGGCTAAAATCCTTCTTTTCACTATCAAGGACAGCTTTCCCACAATGTCTTAGTATTACAGAAACCACTGTTAAAACAATTCCATAATACACAACCCTCTCAAACAATGCCTGATAACCAGTCGCCAAGATGAGCTACAACACTACGGAATCTCATACAGTTAGATAATTGCTGCTAAATTTTTGAGAATAATCAGCGAGGTGCTCTACATTCAAAGACATTTCAAGATATTTTACTGATTTTTTTTGTAGCCTAACAACTGTAGATACACAACTGTATTTGGAAAAACTAGAAACTACCTCACTATAGGGTGAGAGATAATGAGTTAAAATTAAAGGTTGCTGCTGGCTTGCTAGCCCATCCCCCTTTAGCTAATCTGTCATGTAATGAAGAGAAGCACCTAGCATAGGACAGCTAGCTGCCGGCTCACTTACAGCGAGCTGATTAAGAATGTTCAACCAACAGCAGACTGCAGACCTTTCCAACGAAAATAAATAGACTGTATGCAAATGTGTTTGTCACTTTGACAGCATGTCTCAATTAAAGCATCTCGCTGCTGTTGGTAGGCTCTCTCACTGCAGTGGTATGGACGAGGCTTACTGCATTACTGATACACAGGGCTTGACCCTAATCCGCATGCATGCATTTTAAAAAAGTCTGCCTTTGCCATATACACTAGCATAATACTAGCAGACATAGAAAGCAAGTGACAATGAGAAAAAAGCCTCTTTCATCCTCTTCAGTTTATAAGAACTGTGAATGCACAAACAGCCCTTATTTCAGAGTTCTTGTGGCTTTTTAATTGTTCCCACCTACTGTATTCTAGACAAAGTTAAAAGTGACACTAAAATCTCTCTCTTTAATCACTAGTTAGAAGCCATCTCCCATTTAAACAGTAAATGTTGCAGCTTTTTTCCCTCCCCAAAGCCTTAATTTATATTTTATAAACCCGAACATTTTTTCCTTTTGAATGAAAGTAATATTTAATTTTCATTTTGGCATTGGCTATCGGGAAAAAAAGACTTGTGAAAGGACACAGGCTATAAGTGAGATAGCCCTACAACTGCGAAGTTGGATCATTTTTTTGGAAACCGACATTTGTAATGTAATGACAGTAGTAAGCATTTAGCAAGCGAGCCTTTCACCACAGCCAGTGGTTCAGTAAAGCTGATGTGTGTTTCTTTTGACACAGAGAAAGTGATCATTAAAAAATTTAAAAGTGACCGTTAAAAAACCTCATGAATTTAAATTTGCACTTTCCACTCGATTATATATTTCATTAATCTACCAAAATGTTTGAACCATCCATCCTTCATAAAAATCTAAAGGAAAAAACTGAAAGTAGATTATAATATTATCTGGATTTCTGACTGCTTTAAATGAAATGTAACATTTTCTTGCTAGAGCTAGATGGCTGCATTTCTCCAGTAGCCCCAATTCCTCTCAACTGTATTGGCATAGAAAGAAAGTGAAAAATAAATCACTATTGCAAATATTTAATTGGAAGATAATTTGTTTAAAAAAAAAGTCTCCAAGAACTTACATTTAGCACAGTGGTGAAAGTTCTGAAAGAATCAAATCCAATTCTAAAATGATACAGAGAACATTGCTCTGAGCAATGATTATATCTCGTGTAGCCTTATCTAACAGCTAAACAGTCAATGCAGCTACACTGACTAGTTTCTATTAATAGATATTTATCTAAAAATCTGGTTTGCTTCACATTTTATAATTCCCAATATTTTACAATTGTTTGAAAATTACACTATGTTTCCTTAGAAGAAATCAGATATTCACTCCTGTTTTCTGATGATAATACTCTAAAAAATAGATACAGGGAAAGAAAAACAGAACTGTGAACACAAATTATGTTATTTTTTGAGTCAGGCTACACTTAATAGGGGAACTGGCAAACTAATAGTAAATACTGTATGTTTTTCCATGAAAATCACAGCAACTACAACATTTTCTAAATAACTAGCTCTTAAAAAACCCACACAACCAAACTCACTCTTTTGCAGACATATCAAAAGAAACATTATAAGAGTAACTAATGGGTATAGCTCAGTTGTCAATACTGAAATACAGAGTACACTAATAAGCTATTAATTGATTTTTCCATCTTAGTTCATCGCATTTAGTTTTCAGAGAATGTTAAAATGCTTTAATAGTTGGATGTTCCATATTGACACTAATGATCTGGCTAGATAACAGAGGACATTTTAAATTATACATCCTCAGCCCTGAGGGCTATAGCACTTTGCATGCTAAAAGAACAGCAAAATAGTTTATAAAATTGCTATAATAATTATGCTTCCCCCCCATTCACTTAGAAATTATTTTCCTCAAAATCATTGTATTAACAAAAGGAATCAGTAAACCCCAGAAAAATCAGGTTTTAGAATCCCATTTAAAAAGATATAACAGAAATAAATCTATAACATAATTCAGTTACAAAAAATAATGAAACAATTGGCATATTCGTTATTGTGACTTTTCTCTGAACTATTTCTGCTGAGTCACACAATTTAAAGAAACCTAACACTAAGACATACCTGACCAAAATGTACTGTGATTGGTCTTCTCTCTTCCCTTAATTTAGGGTCCTTCTTTTCAACCAATGGAGAAGGCGCTGTCCTTGGTAGAGATTCCTCCGGTGTTGCAGAACACCCATTCTCAGCAATGTCCTGTACGGTAGGAAAAGGTGAATAGCATGGCCAGGAACATTCTTGATTAAGGGTAAGGGTCACAAAGGAGACACTAGAGGATAATGCCGACTGACAATTTTGATGTTAGGGAAAAAAACCCAAAGTACAGAAAAGAAAACATCATTAGAATAAAACATTTCGTTGCATTTTGTCAATCAGAGCTTGTACACAACCACCCTCTCCTCCTAATACCAATGTTGCACGCAGACACATTCAATAAAATGTCTGACTTAAATATGCAAAAGCCAGGAAATATATAGGGAGAAAAAAAGAAACCACCGCTCAAAACTTCTATTCTAGGAACAAATTCAACAGAAACCTAGGAACAGGGCTCTTCTGCTTTTTGCAAACCTAAATGAAAACAGTAATTCTATTGACATACTTCACAAAATTATCTGTAGCAGAACAATTACTTCTGGAAGTGGCAAGGAGAGATGAAACTCACAGCTTAGTTAGCTTTGCATTTTATCTTTGAGCCTGTGTATACTGAATATGCCTTCAGGAGATCGTATAAAACAAACTGCTGCCTAGCAGGATGCTTTTTTGTTTTGCTTTGCTTTTGCTTTTGACATTAGTCCTCATCTTCAGAAGTAAAGTGACCCATCAACCTAGGTTAGAAGACTTGGCAAGTGTATGTATGGTATATGTAACATAGGTTTTGAAAAAGACAAAGGCATGCAGACATAAGGAATCAGACAAGGAGAAAAGAGTTTGAAAGTCAGTTGAGAAATAGTCTGTAACGCAGTGGGCCCCAAACCTTACATCTCTTTGCAACAATGTCAAGGAAATAATGCTTGGTAAATATAGAGAGAAACCTGCACACACTGTAGCTCTGCAAGACTGACCTAAGGTTGGCTGCTGACATAGACATTGCTTTGATTCACTGACCTTTGACATGCCCCCTCAAGTTTCCGTCTTGCTAAGGTACAATAATGAGACATGTAAGCTGATGGCCAATTAGAAATGGTTCTTTTGGACACAGACTGACCTAATGTGTTTAGGTCAAATGAAACAAAAAGCTGGATGGACTTTCTAAGGGGCTTTGTCTGCTCCACAGAGAAGCTGAGAGACCTTTTTAGATCCAGCTGGTAGAGCAGTGGTTCACCAATATGGGCATAAGGATCATGGGGAAATTAACAATTTGTTAAGGTCAAACTAGAGAGAAAAACTTTTTCCTCCCCCCGCCCTCCAGCTGCACAATGCTACCATGTCTTTAAAAAAATTCAACAAAGTACACTGAATTAGTAACAAAGAGTCCCAAAACAACTCAATCAACTCAATGACAAGAAATGTAAGCTTCTGTCAAACTCATACTTCAGCTCCAAAACAGCAACAAGCTACCAAGGGATCTGGTCAGTTTTGGAATCACATATGGCAGCAACGTATACTGTTCTGAAACGTAATGACATTAAATACACAATTTATTTACATATTTCTATACAAGTATAGCCATATTAAATGTGCACCAAGCTTCAGACCTGTTACGTATATGCCATGAAGGCGCCCAGCACATTCAAAGCACCTGGCCTGCACTGAAGTTCCCAGCACTTCAGTTTTCAGAGTTCCACCTGGAGCTGTGGCTCCAGCCAAGGCAATAGACAGCTGGGAATCAACGGAAAGCAAAGCATCTTCCAATCCAGGCAAAATTTCCAGAAAAATGTAAAACGGACGCAAAAGTTTTGACATCAAGGGAATGGGAGGAGATAAAAGATACAGACAGAGCAAGCGATTAAGCAAAACCCCCTAAGATGTATAATGATCACTGCAAATCCTTGCAGATTTTATTGCTGATTGATTATTTTTGATTGACTTCTCTGATGATATAATTGCACACAAAAGATAACATGTTCCTAAAATGCATTTCCACTGTGTTTGGTGTACAGACTTCCAAATAAACTACAGCAGATTTCAGTCAAAATCAGGTTTTTTTTTTAAATTTACTTAATAAAATATGAGAATTAAATTATTTGATACCTCTCTTCTTTCAAAATCCCAAAAAGGCAGACAAATCAACAACACAGCTTCAGTCACCAAGGCAAAATTTGTTTTACAAAAGTTCATTTTCTACCTTCAATGAAACCTCATTTGAGCTAAATAAACAGAGAAACCTGATTTTAAACACCCCACATAAGGGCTCCAAGTAGCTTTAAAATTATTAAACGTCAAAGTGCTTGGCAATTCTATAATTGGAAAGTAGACAACAGTCCTTCAAAGCAGTCTGTGACATACCTTCAGTCCACTAACAGACTTTGAATACAGTTATTCTGAAGTCAATGGGGTGTACAAGACAGAGAGAAAACCACTAACAGGAAAACAGGACTCCCCAATTCTGAACTTCAGCTTCAGAAAGGTATCAGGGCTCACAAAATGTCTACTGATAAAAGCAGTTCTTCAGCTTGAGAACTACAAATGACCAAAGAACTGCACTGGATAATAGTGCAGACAGGCCTTACAAAAGCAGTGCCCATTCCTGGCACTAAAAGAAAAGCCAGGTAGACCTGTGCATCCCAACTGAGGGAGAGGATTTACCAGCCAGAATGCTGTCTCCTATTTCCACACTGTTTTTGAGACCAATGCTAGTGCTTCCACCTGAAGCTCTGCTGTGTAAGTGTACCAGCTTGGCTGGTGCTCACGAGCAGTTTTTTGTACTGCAGTGCATCATACCGGGTAGATATGTCCTAAGTCTGACTTTTCAGTTCCGACATGTCCCCAAAAAAGGGATTTGGTATAAGTCAGCAAGACATTCCTGAAGTAGCTTAAGTTATATATATTAATCAGGGTAACAACAAAAACCATGAGACCTATCCCTCCCAAAAAATGGAAGAAAATGGAAGGTGCTAAGTTACTCATGGCTGGACCAAATTCTCCAGAAACGCAAAAACCTAGCAATTTTTCAGTAACTTTTTAATGAAAAGAAAGTGTAATTTAAGGATATTATTAAAAATAAAAACATCTTCTGCCTGAGGAAAAAAGATATTTTATAGATTATTGGAAAAAGAGAATGACAATGCTCTATCACACTCCATAATTATCTCCATATATAAACAGTACTTCCCTAACAACTGTCTGTTCATGTGATATCTTTACTACCGATTTCTTTTACAGGAGGAACTTCAGAAAATGAGTAAGATATATATTTACAGATATGTAAAGTTTACCCTGTAAACTGAATAAGGTTTTCTTCTGTTTAAATATGTATCAGTAATTTTTCTAGGGACCTTTTGTAATAGCCTACAAATACTGGAAGAGCAAAAAACACATTCCAGAATGTCTAGAAGGATTCTTCAAATTATTTTATAAACCTCTAAAGGAGTTGTTTCTAGCTATACTGATAATAAAGCACTGACAACAGCCCATTGATAACAGACATTAACTAGAGCCACACAGGACTCCAGTAAGTAAAATAATGTTGAATACATTAATGCCAAGTGCCCAACCATTTATATAAATTGTCTTATCCAGAAGCTTTCAGTAAGTTTCATTCTCCCTACTGAAAGTTGAGGACGGTACCATTCATATTCCTCCTTCTTCCTAATTCTATGTAGTTAAGCTTCAAACGAGCCAATAACGGAGTGACTTGACCACCATGGTCCATTTGTGAAATGGAAAAAGCAGCCTTTACAAAAAAAAAAAAAAAAAAAGAAAAAAAAAAGAAAAAAGGAAAAAAGAAAAAAGAAAAAGAAAAAAAAAGAAAGAAAAAGAAAAAAGTACTGTATCAGATATAAAATAAAGCTACCATGCTGTATCTATTAACAATTATTTGCTATCACTCATAAGAATCCTCTGAAAACTATTTCTGTTGCTTTGAAATACTGTACCACAAATGAACAAGGGATGGAAATAGAGCCCCATTCAATCTCTACTATCATATTAAAGAAGGACCTTACACACACCACAGTGACCTCTCAACAGGTCAATCCTGCATTTCGCATTTGCAATTCAAACCCAAGACTGGAGCAGACCAAGGGCAAAATGGGCTCTTGATTATATTTAAGAGGTCACCATTGCTATGCAGAGTTGTAGGAAGCAGACCTCTAGCTTTATTGCATTTTTAAATTCTGTCTTGTACAGAAGCTGCTCATATTTGGCAGTGAAAACTGGAAAAGAGATGTTTATATTTGACTTTTCCTTACCAGTGGCCTGCATACTTTTTGTATTAATAATGGAAAATAGTATGTTAAAATACAGTGTATAGTAAGTTCAGTTTAAAAATAACCTTAGGTTATCCTTAGAAGATGAAAGACTAGCATCCCAAATTTAGCAAAAATTAAGTATTTAATGATGCCAGAATTTCAAACAGTTAACATTTGCATATACTAGTAAGTAAATACATGAAAAATACAATGTTCTCACATGAAAATTGGTGAGGATGCACTAATAGACTTGTCAACAAAGCAGCACAGACATTTAGATTAAAAATAACATGAGGGTGGCCAAAACAATTTTTGCTATTTTTATCACTTTAAACAGAGCAATATCTCTTTTTAGAGTTATCTTCCTATCTTGCATTCAAAATGGAGAAGAGGATGGGATAGAAAAGAGCAGACTTAATGAAGAAAGGAGAGGTAGAGCAGTATGTGTCAACTACTCATAGAAATCTTTTAAGCTCTTGTGAAAGCATATGTTGAACAATCATGTTTAACCATCTTACAGAAATGCCACATAATAAGGAAGGTGAAACAAAATTGAGCCATTTATTTGTAAATGTTATGTGTGTTTTTTAAAAAAAAGTGCTTGCTGCTTGAAGGACTAGGAAGACAACAATAATAATAAAACAAAGCAATGAATGAATGAGACGTTTCTCAGCCTTTTATACAAATGTCACAGAATAGCACACAATTATATTAGCATTTAAAATACCGGAAAACAATCTGGTCATTTCACACAGCTCCAACTGCTTTAGAAATGCACATGAGAAGGCCAAACATTTTATTATTCATGAAGGTTATGTCCAGAAGTGAAACACATGGAATTACATAAAAAATTCCATGTACAAGAAAACCGTTTCATGTTTCTAATATTTTCATATTATACCTAAAGTGGTCACATATAAAGTAGTAAGTGTAATAAAACAGAATAGCATTAAAAGCATCCGAAGCAACTTTATCTTCCTCAAAAATCTCTAGCAATCTGCTAGAGTATTTAGAGAGCGAACAGCATTTGGATTGTACACACAGTTAAATTTCATCAGTTTATAACCTGGCTGCAGAATAATCCCTTTGTATTAACATTTTGTTAACATGTTCAGGTAGATTTCTGTTTCTGCCGTAGGAATACATTTGCAGCACTATCTTAAGATGATGGTTTAGAAATTTAGAGAAGAAATTTCCTGAGATAGCGTAGATTTAAAAAAACCCAAACTATTATGCAACAAATTGAATAAAAATTTCTGATAAGAACTTCGGTTCTATTAGCAAGTTAGCTATCTTGTTTTCCCAAAATACTCTAATAGCTCTGCTTCATAGAATAAATAGAATATTTGAAATAAACCTATGGCAGAGTTAACCATTCATTCATAAGGTATGTTTCAATATGATCATGCTTCCGGCTTAAAAGGAGCAATTAGTATTGGATAACACATTCTTCAAACACAATTCAGCATTTTTGGAATCGTACTGTTTACAAACAAAGACAGACAGATTTGGAAAACAACAAACAGTTTGAGGTTTTTTTTCTGCAATAATTCAAATTTGAAATTAACACCAACTCTAATTAATTCCTTTATGCCTAAACTTTGCAGTAGACACTCATGAAACATAAAAATCCTTTTCCCAATGACCAACACTATACTATTTTCCCTGAGAGATTACTGTAGAAATAACAACAATTTGCCATTTGCAAAAAGTTCACTGCCCTTACTGTAGGAAAGATCTCCCAGTTCATATAAAGCCCCCTTCCACAACGCCCCAGCACAAAGGACAGGAGAGGGACCACTCCAAATAGAACACTCAATTTTCTGGCTTTTGTAGGTTTAAGTCAGAGCCTTAATGTATTTGAAGACAGTTTTTTTTTGTCTGTGAATATTTATAACAGTGTGAAAAATCCGGGACAGCTGGTAATGCATTTTGAAGTGTGCTAACAACACTGTATCAAACAGCTTCCTATTGATCACATAATGCTTTTTGTGGCTAAGTATTTCATACATGGTGCTTATACATTTTGAATAAGAACTTCAAGTACCTTTTGCTTCAAGCGGTTTTTCACTTCTTTTATTCCCATTTTTGCATGATCTTTTGCCTGCATGAAAAATTAATTTAAGTTAAAATCCCCTTCTATTTCCACTAGTAACTACGCTTGATTTCAGTGCATCAAGATTCACCTTCTCTAGATACTAAAAATGGCATGGACAAAATTGTAACAGGATACTGAAAACACATTAAAACAAATAGAAAGCTAAAAAAAACCCCAAACAAAAAAACCCACCACCACCCCCCCACACACACTCGTTGCAAAAATTTTGTTTTCCCTGTTTTGATGCCATATTCATCTTTTTGCATTCCACACCCTCGATCTTCCCCTCTAAGTATTTATCTTTGCTATAAGTTAACAATCAACAGAAATAGTAAGCCCGCAAACTTTCTCCTTGCAGTACTCTGGATGCCAGTTCCATTTAGTAGAGCTAATCTCATCCTATTCATCTCTCTCAGGCTGGAGGAAGGCAGGAGAAAAGAAAAGTTTGAATAGTTACTTCAGTGCTTTTTGTAGCATTATTTCCTAAAATTGAGCTTATTAAGAAATCCTCGCTTGTCTCTGTTGTTTTATCTTGCACAGTGAAACTGGCAGCCATACATGATAACACTGTAACATACTAGCTGTTTGTTAACAGAACTGAAAACATTTTCATTTAAGAATAACTCAGTAAGTTGGGCTCTAAATAAGCAGGTATAAGAAATCTCTAGGGAAAATTAATTGACATTTAGAAAAGATGGAAACAATTTGGAAAATGAGAGGATTCCCTTACTTCGATGAAGCTGCAAGCAGAGAAACCTGAGGTAACAATGACTTCCAACAGAGTAATGATGAGATGGTAGAGCTGCTTAGTAGAGCATATAGGTACTATTTCCCAGAAATAGTTCTATGTAATAAATAGAATTTATCATCTATACTTTCAAAAGAAATCACAAGTTCCCCTTCTCCTTTGCATTTCAATTATGTTTAAATTTCAAAATGACTTTTCCATTTAAATTTGAAATGTAGATGAATGTGTATTTTAAGTAATTTTGTGAGTCCAATAAAAACGAATTTAAGTCTTGAGTTTCATTTGAAAGGTTAAAACAGAATCATAATTAGTCTCTTATCTCAGTAGTAAGCTAGTACTTGATACTTACAAACTTATAGACAGTCTTCATGGCGGGGTTAGCCTTGGTCTTTACTGTATTTAAAATGGCTCCACTTCCTTTCTATAATTATAGTAACAATAGAATACATTTTATCAAAGCTCTTTAAAGCAAACAGCAACCTAAAATCCACCATTCTTAACTTAAAATAACAAAGCATTAACTATGCTTATTAGCAAAGCTGAGTATTAAAATGGTAAATTTAAAGAAAAAGAATGCAAGTAAAAGCATATTAAATGTTTCTCTCTGGTTTTCCAGAGGAATCCCAATTCTGTTTAATACAGCAGTTTTCAAATGAAAAATGTCAGTGTCTCCTAATACCAAAAGCCCTTGTCTTATAGGTCGACTCACAAAACAGTGTTCTGTGACTGTTCCACTCGCCCTCAAGGGTGTCTTGCACGTTGCATTAAAATCCTAAACAAGTTTAAGACAAAAGTATCCTACCAAATACTCAATGTCTGGGGCAGAAAATTCAGTTTCAGGAAAGCCTGTACATTCAATCTGAAGAAGTAAGATCTTTTTTTATTTTCCTTTTCATGATTCCACAATACTATTTATCAAAAGCATGCTGCCTTTTTAAGATCTAAGTAGTCAATAAAGGGATAAATTGAGGGAAAATGAAATCTAACTACAGTCATAAACATTAATTCTAGAAAAGCTGAATTGCATGTGGTGAACATAATAGAAGTCATAAGACAGTAATATGTCAAACAGAATAATCTGTTAGTCTGGTCAGTGTTTTATACATCTTCCACACACCATTGACTATTGCTGTACAGTACCTTATGTGATAAATACAGGAGATGGGTAAAATCCAAGGAAGAAAATCTTAGATAATTTTATATTTTCTTATTTCAGTGCAAAATTATATTTCCAGAGATCAGATGCAATCAGATGCAAACAGCTTTAAGAGTTACTACTTCTGTTACTACATGACAATTAATCCTCAACAGAAATTATAAACTGTCTTTTTATATTGACTGTCAGCCATTCCCCTTTCTTATAATTTTAAAATTACTTGTCATTCTATGTATTTATATACATTTATGTACATATATTTACCTACCTAATAATTTACCTAATAATCCCATATATGATGGGATTTTTTGCATTACTGTTATAAAATATGTTTAATTCAAAATTATCAAGATAATATGGAGCCCAGCATTTTGTGTAAGGAACATAATTCCATTCATAACCAGGACAATAAGCAAATGGAATGCTGCAAAACTCAGTTCTGTCAGAAAACAATTCAATCTTTCCTACTGACTCGTACACATAAACCAGAAATATTTTACTTTTCAACACATCACATTTTATGCATCAAAAGAGACTTTTAAAATCAGCTATAATAACGTATTATTCTCTAAAAGTATTTAAATTTTTAATTTATACAGCTAGAGCAGTAAACCAAAGAGATCAAAAAACATCCCAAACAGTGCTGTCTCCATTCAGCACTTCACACCATTTAGCTTTATAAAGAGCTTTTTGGTGGGCAATGTTCCCTTTTGTTTCCTTTTCTATTAAAAGGAAAGAAAAACCACATTATTTTCTAAAATAACAATAACTTATTTCCAGCTGTCTCCAAGACATTAAAAGTGGGATTCAAAAACTTGAAAATTCCTATGGTGATTTTTTTTTTTTTTGGTGTATTTTTTCTTCTGTTCCTAACTTCATCTGAAGAGCGCCTTAGTTTCTCACAACTAAACTCAAATTGGTCACAGCTAAACACTGCAGGAAACAGGTTAGTCATGTTCATGAGGACAGAGGTTAACAGGCATACAGAACTGTACAATGGTCCAGTAAGAATTAGAATGTCTGTTGGAAGAATATTGTGTTCTTACCCTTACTGTAGAGAGCCACTGGTGGTACAATTTGTCGCTACCTACAGAGAATCACAAAAACAAACAAACTGTAACTCTCTACCAAATAGAAAACAAGCTAGAAATGTGAAGTGTTACCACTTTTTGCTTCTAGGAGCATGAACAGTACAGAAACAGAACAGGACAACCATCCTTTTCTTTTCATGGAAACACAACAACAAAAAATTGACGAGATATCTACAATTTTTCTTCTACTTGCTAAGAGGCATTTCTATTTTATCTGGGTTGTCTTTCAGACATTTGAGAACCCTGAGATTTTTTTTTTAAGATAGTTAAAAGAAATTTGAGGTGGTTCTGGGTAAAGCCAAGGTTTTTCAGTATCCTCCATTGCAAGAACTCTTTTAGTTGCACTTTAGCCAAGCGGTAAAGCTGAGGTTTTGTAAGACTGAACAGACTTTATTCAGACTATAATACATTACTCAAAGTTCTTGACAGCGGAAAGAACAAAAATTTATGACACTTCAACCTATAGGGATCATTGCAGCCTCAGTTATTTAGATAAGTAACCACAATGACCCATTACATCACAATGGCCCACAAACAGTAAGTCAAGAACAGTGTCTGAAGTTACTTTAAAATACTTATTTCTTACCTGCATATTCTCCCATATTTATCTCTTCTTCAAAAACATCACTGAAGCCCTCTCCAGAGTTAAGAAGATCCAGACGGCCATCAATGAACTACATCAACGTTAAAAGAGTGTAAACAAATCAACCATCCCATCCTTTATCTTTTCAGAAAGACTTTATTCTGCATTTGCTAGAACAACCCCAATGCTCTTATCAGGAAGGGACTCTAAATAGAATGAAAATACAACCAAAACTGGCAAAATGTTTACCAATGCAAAAAAGTATGCTGCTTCACTGAAAAAAAGCATTCATGTGTTTGCCTATACATACACGTTTTCAGCTTCCCTGAAGCAGTAATACAATGTTTAACAGTAATATGCTTTCTGTAAAAGCTTACAGCAGATATATTGGGTCTAGGTATGCTCAGATCAAAACTGAGCAGAGACACCTTTAGGGGAAAAAACCATACACCTCTTAAAATATAGAAAGCCTTATCACCCGAATCTGAGAAAAGCAAGCAGGAATTACGGTGCTGCCAACTACATGAATTTTCCTTATTATGTGGCTGACAGATCAAGGAATATAGGAACAGCCCTCAAAAAAACAGTTGTATTATTAAAGAATCTGCTTCTACATTAGAGAAATTAAGCCAGTACCTGCTTAAAGAGCTGGAGCTGAATGGCATTCTGAAGAAACTGCCTCATGACAGCGGAACGATGGGACACGAATGTTTCTTCACAAAAAGTGATGGGTTCACCCTGTAGAGTTCAGAGCATTAAACACTGAAAAAGCTTTGTCTGAATCCATTTGAATCCACTGTCTCCATTTTACCTACTTCCCTTCCAAAATAAATAGATAAATAAAGTAGGCCTTACATAACATTGAGCAAACTGTAGTTTATTTCCAGGTTTCAATCAGGTGACTGAGAAACAGGTTGGAAACTGGCAAATTGCATATCATCAAAATAAAATATATTTGCTTTATGCACATTTTGCTAATGCTGGTGAAGGAGGTTTCATCATCCAAAAAGGTAATTTTAATTAATGTCCCCAAAATATGACACACAGTCATCTGAATTTTGTACATTCTGCTTATCTGCCTCAGTAGACGCAGACAGTTAACCTGCACAAACAAGTCAGGAATGTCTACTGTGTTCTCTCCACAGTTCAGAAAGATTAGACTTTCATATATTGAATGAGTGAAATTTCCCTTTTTCACAACCTTGTTTGCAAAAGACAGAAATTGTTTTGCAGCTCTACTTTTATCTTATTTTAATGAGTTATGTTAATGCTGAAGTCTGCTGTGCATCTGCCATAAGGGCACAAATTTCCTCCACACTTAAATCTACAAATACTCAATGTAGCAAGCAAATATATTTATTGAATTAAAAACAAGAAAGTTACAAAGAATGATAAAATTATACTGATGTATAATTAATATGGAGGCTTTTTCAAATTCATATTAAAATATATTTGGACTCTTCATCTGTTGAGTGTTTGAAATCAACATTAGACAGCAAAAAACCTTAAAGCGCTCCCTTTAAAAGGGTGGTATCATTTGATTTTTGAGAGCACTTTGTATTAGCAATCTCGTTTACCATTGGCTGTGTAAAGTCAGGGTAACAGGGCCACTAAAATGACTGTGCTCAAAAAAACCCCATGCCACAGCATTGCTTTAGGCTTATTGGTTTTTCCCCACCAATTTATGTTAGAAGCCACTATGTGGCCCCAGGACTTCTAACACCTAATCCACACTAAAAGGATACTAAATCCTCAAAACTATGTTGGGCAAACCGTGATGACCCTCACATTTCTTAAAATCCATAGGTATTCACCTTTTTCCCTGAGTTCACAATCGATAAAACTTACTCATCGATACATCTCCTACTGAGGTCCGGTGCTACCCCTGAGCTTATCGACCTGACAGCTGCTACTGCCGACCGCCTGTCTTTTGACATAACTGACCTCGCCATTGTAACCAAATGGTGCAAACAGTAATATCAGCTTTTAACGCAATTTATGAGGAAAGTGAAGGAACTATTTGGCTTCAAATAATCAGCCCGCAGTAATAAAATTCTTCCTGGCCCCAATGAATTGGACAACCAGAATCACCAAGATGATACACCATGTACCTCAAGTCTAACCCAGCAGTCAACAAATGCCAGAGGTCACAGGTTGTTCTTAACATGAGGAAAAGGATCAATTGCAAGTGACTGTCTAAGCACAGGATGGGTCTCTTTCAAAGGGGGAAGAAGTCACTCTTTTAGCTTCTTCACCTTTTCCTTGGGCCAATGAATTTCCATGGTTTTGGAAAAGAAAGCAGGTTTCTTATGCGACAACTACAGTTTCAGGATAATTAATTTTAAAAATAATACGCTGTCTTTGATTTACTCTAGCAGGTATTTACAGGGGAAAAAAAAAATCACTACAATCTTTCCGGGCAAGAAGCATGAGTGTCAAAAAAACACTTTTTTTTTTTCCCCTGTGGCTTTGCTCTCATCAGGATAAAGAATCATAAGATACTTCATTTCAAAGTAAAAGGAAAAATGTTTGGAAAAACAGGTCTGGCTGGTACATGCCTGGTATGCAAGACACTGGTGAGAGTCTCCATGACACACTGACTACTGCCATGACACAGGTTCTGTCTCAAAAATCAAGGTATGTACTGTCTGAAAAGTTTTAATGCATTTAAATAATTGACAGCTGATCATGCACTCATGTTAGTAGATGGCAGAGAGGGACAGAACTGCTGCATGACATGGAAGTGCCAAAACAAGACTTTGAGCAAGAGCTAACTTTGCAAATGGAAAAAGCCATTAGTTGATTTTGAGATGGGACTGACAATTTGGACTAATATTAGCTCCCCATGCAAGAACTTAATATATGATATTCAGCTATTGCCATCCCACTTGAGATTTGTTTATACTCTCTCTCAGGTACCAGGAAGTAAAAGTCAGGATACTAGAGAGCACTACAATTAGCAAAAGAAAATCTTAGGAGATTGCAAATGCATCTGTTACTACAGAAACTGCAGCGACAGACACTTTCCCAGTGGGGCCTAGGAAACAGCACAACAAACAACAGGATGTAACATCTACTTGACCAGTATGAGAAAGGCTTTCCCATCAAATTCAGCTACCAGAACATAATAAAGGATGCCAGAAAAATATTTGTGTCTGACATAGATACAATCTGGAGCGTGAAAAGAGCTGGGAGCAATACATGAAGAAAAGTGTAGATTAGTCCATGATCAGAGAAGTTGTTCACCAGAGGAAGGTTTAAGTTTTGTTTAAGCCTCACTTACAAAACACTTTAAAGGAAACAAACAACCCTTCCTACAATCCATGAGAATCCAAAATTTCTCCCATGGCCAAAGAGGAGCATGAACATTGTGGAAAGAACTACGCCCTGCCAAACAGAAGCTCCCTCTACTCCACCGTACATCCAGCACACAGACACCAGCTTCTCCTCTTACAATCAAGCTATGTACCATTCCTGTAAACACACATATTGCAGCTGGGGGAGCCCAGTATTATTATCATGTTAACACACTTCCCCCAAAGTACTAATGATTGAGTTTGTTCATTAGGTTGATTAGACCTTTTGACTTCTTAAGAGCCAATTCAGGCTCAACTGCTGCTAGATGATAGGAAAAACTTTAATCATCAAGGTCAAGCGTGAGCTTTTCAGCTTAGAATGCATTAGTACCTTCCATCCTCCACGACCTCCAGAAGAGCGAACACACTGTTGCTAACCCCCATGCACAGCTTCATTACAAAAAGACAAGCTGGACAATAAGACCATTTTCTTGACAGATTTAGTTAACTGTAAGTTATAAAGCTAATCAGCTCTGCTTTTACTGACAGATGATATTATACATGAGGGGACATGCTAAGAACTGCAGATATTTTGTGAAATGAATGGTCTTGCTCACATGTAAAACAATTATAATAACTTGTCCTGATAAACCCATCAACTCCTAAACTTGCTGTTGCCCACAATTGGAATTTAGGCCTTGATTCGTCAACACCTTAAATATCCATTACTCCCCTCTCTAACTATAAATGCATAACAGAGGCTAAGATATGGCATTGCAAATGCTCTAAATGTGTGCACAATGCGACTCTATGAGGAATCTGATTTGATCTGTAATATTAGATAATTCACATATATTTTAAGATTGGATCACAAAATTTTTTTTAATACAATACACATTTTTACACATTTCAAAGACATTTAATCTGCAATCTTAACACAAGAGAAATAACTTCAGAATATAAGACTAAGATTTAAGATTCCCAGATGCATTGAAAAAACAGGTGCCTTTTCTTTATGCCTTTGCAAATCTCCCTTTATATGAATATTTTACATTCATATGGCATAATGAAGTTCATCAGGGCAGTGCTGCTACCTCATGACCCCTTAAAAAGCTGAAAAGTTTCAGACCACATCAGATCTGTTGCCAGCCCTATTTTTAAATTGGAATTCTGTTACATTCTAAAATAATGTTTAAAACTACTTAAGGCAGCAAGTGAAAAATGAAAGGAGTCTAGTACATATTTCAGACTGTTCTAGAGTTTCATGAAACCTGCTGTTATATTTTAGGAAGCCATAATGCAAATTGAAAGATAAAGCCGGATTTTGATTAGCTACACTGTAAAAAATTTCACCATGATCCCCTATATTTCAAGAAAATCACTTTTCCTCAGAAAGAAAAACTTTCTTTCAGAAGAGGGTACAGGACCTCATGCAGACAGTTATTGTCAGTGACAGAAGTATCATATCTGAGTTGTCTGACTTAGCATACTCGCAGACAGGCCAGCTAACCGGTTATAGTGAATATAAAGAACTAAAAATATGTGGGACAGAAGATAGCACAGATTAGAGAAGGACTTGGAGGAAGGGACAGAGACAAACACAAATGATACTTCTGGAAAGACACACAGGTGCTACAATAACTCATGGAAGTCTAACTATTCCCACTCCTGCAAGAGATGAGGTACCAAAGTGTGCATCTGGATAATGGGGCTTTAAAGCCAGCACGTGACTGCTGGGGAAAACATTAAGATAACAAAGGCAGGTTCAAATTAGGTCAAAAGTCGGAGTCTCTTGCACAAGCAAAGATTTCACAAAACTTGATTCTAAGGGTGAAAAAAAAACAAAAAAACCAAACCAAAACCAACAACCCAAACCTGAAGACTTTGTTTAGACAACCCTAAAAGTTATGCCATGGAAGATACATGTAATCTCTTCTGCATTATCATGGTCAGCATGTGGTGCAGGGTAATGAATTTTGTGCTGCTGTATGCATGCCTTTAAACCATGTAGGTGCTCTTTCAAAGCCTCCCTAATAAATACACAAGTCATTAGAGCTGCTCTGTAAACCAGCCACGAAATGAAAAAATGTGGGTGGAATTTAAAGGTGCAGAACAAGATGACAATCTGACAGTCTACAAGCTGGAAGTTTAGTGTCAGTATACTATGCAGCAAAACTCCAAATACACAGCAAGAACAATGACATGCAAGAGATTCCTATATCACTGTTTTATTACTACCTAGATGTTGCAAATAACCACATCCTTTACTAAAATTGGTTATGTTGCAAATGACAAAGTAAAGCCTGTAGGGATATTCTAGGAATCATCATCCTTAATTCCATGCAGAATTATAATAAAACTAAGATAGGAGAACGATCTTATTGATCTAGATATATATGTCAATGTCAGATAAAACAGTAACCAAAGGCCAGCAACTGCTCT